CTATACATCTGCACGCATATTACTCAAACAAACACACAAAAATATGTGCTATGCTAGAAAAACACTGAACATTTATATTAAATAATTCAAATATCTATAGATTTTTATTATTTAAAAAAATCAAAATATTATTTGTTTTATATCGCTTTTTGTACCTGTTCACATATAGTAGATTTCTCCTTTTTTTTGGGTGGGTGGGTGGGTATAAAAAGACCTAAGTTGAAAAAATGGCTATTGGTAATTTGTGGAACGGAACGGAACCAGTTGTGGGGTACCTTGTAAAAAAGTCAATACCAAGGGATTAAATTCCCGTACATATTCCTTAAATACGATATTATCTACAGTTGATTCCATTTCTTGATTACCTTACTGCATGAATCATTTCTCAAAGTTGTCCATCTACAAAAAGTTTTTTTTCTTCCTACTCATAAGTGTATGCGAAAGTAATTGAAATGTTATAACATTTATCTAAATTTAATATAATAATGTTTTATTAATCAAATTGACTATTACATATTAGAGATTGATATCTGATGCAGAATATTCCTAATGTATCACTGCACAAGTAAATTATGGTTCATAAACCCTCTGCTCACTCAAACAAAATGTAACTTTAACTTTTTATGATTTTCCTAAAGAAGTGTACTTTATAAGTAAAATGCAAACAATTCTATCATAGTTTGCGGGGCAAAATTAAACAAATAAGGCATTTCAACTTGACAATTCTATAAAGGAATAATAAACATTTGTTTAATTAATATCTATCTCTCTTATCAGAGTATCAATGAACCTTAAGTCTTATCATGAGTTCATAATTTTCATACATTGTTGGGTCACCCTTATTTTTATATACAAGCATAAAATACCTACAAACAACACATATGGGTTTAAACAATGTCAGAAATAAATTACTTTTATGAAAAGGTAAAATTAGGGAGAAATATTGAATATATGAAAAAGTGAGCACTGATCAATTCATAAAACCAGTTATGACTTACCTATTTTTAATTTTCTTTACAATTTCATTCATTTTACTGTTTAAATGCATCATATGGGACAAGGCTACTTCAGAGCTGTGCCATAGCAAAACCGAAAGAGGACACCCCTCAACGAAATTAACTTTGAAAATATCAATCGTACTGAAGTAAGACTTTCCTGGATAATTGGCCAACAGTACTTCTGGATTATTCTATCATTATGGATTTTTTATTTAAGATAGGTAAGTCTAATTTCAGTATGATTATTAAATTTTTACAACGGTAGTTGAAATCTGGAAATTGCTAGCGAGTAAGGCTTTGAAATTAATGTTTACCAGGTTTACATATATAATTATTACTGTTGTAGTTGGCAATATTGTTATTTACTTTATCGATCTTTGTTCAGTAATTGAATAATAATAATACATGTTGTTCTGCTTTTCGCTTTGATTGGTCACTTAATCTAAGATAAAAGAAGATGGGCGAACAAGGCTGGTGAAATGCTTACAGTTCAGTCTACAGCATGTTCTTGAGCTACTCTTATTGAATGTTGGGAAAATAAAACAATATCCTCATGTGAAGGATTAATTTCCTGCTTAGGAGAATCACTGCACTACGTCAGATTCACAAGATACTGACGAGTCAGTCGTTTTCACTCTGAGGGAGCGTGGTGGTGGGTTCAAATGTATTTCAATATGCCAAAATTTCATGATATTTTGTTAACTTGTTGACTAAAGATGCATTGGAATGTTTAACAAAATTACCGGTGGGGGGGGGGGGTTCCGAATAAAAATTTAATCAATTAATTAACTCAAAGTTAATTTTACGCTGCATGCGTTTTTCCCACTTCTGTATATATGTCCTGATTAACAAAAAGGCCCTCTTCCCTTGTACTTCGAATTTGCTAGTTTCACTTTTACAGATTTCCCTTTTATATACACGTACTTTGTTCAAACAAGATGAAGATGAGTTTCTTCTTGAATGCGCATTGAAACAATTTTTCCCATTATAAGTTATAGCATTATTTTATATAAAGTACGAATAAATTTAAAGTCCTCGTACAAATTAGATTTTTATTTCTTCTTTAGGAAACTTTTTTTTATATCGCCATGCGATCATTGTCTCACATAAGGGTGTTTTCCCAAAGACATTTCTCTGGCAACAACAGTTTTTTTTTTTTACTTTCCCCCTTCCGATTATGACAACTCTCGGCCGCCATAGGTGAAGCACAATGAAACCAAAGTGAACATTTCCTTTTGGACGTTATCTGAGAAGAATAGGTCTTAGCGCCAGGTAAAGTTACGATAAAATATATGTCCATTTAAAATATTTAGCAAGTAGGGAGACAAAGGCAAACACATCTGACATAGCTCAGTATTCTACAAATGTAGTTATGTCATGGCCGTAGGAACCGAGAGGGGGGGGGGCACGCGCCCCCCCCTCCCAATAATTTTGCCGATATATAGATTACTATAGGAAACATAGATACTATATACTTGTGCCCCCTCAACAGAAACGTCTGATGACTTCTTTTTTTTTTTTTTTTGCTTGTCAAAGAATTTTTGGTAGTTGATAGTGCCCCCTCAACTGAAAATATATGGCTGTGCCCCCCCCCCCCCCCCCAAAAAAAAAAAAAACCGAAATTGCTTCCTACGGGCCTGTATGTGCCATATTTTCTAAACGATGCATCTTAGAAGTCAGTTATGGTGAAATAAAGACGAATACTTAGCTTTGATCACTTGATAATTTAAAATATCTTTAAAGTGTGTTCTCAAACTATTAAGCATGTATTTAAATGTCTATTTGTGTACTCAGAGACGGAAGAATCTATTATATACACAGGGAATATGAGGTCAATCGTGTTAAAAAATCCAAACTTGTAATAGTCTACATGTGTAAGTAGGTTTTTCCGACATCCCATCATGTAGTTCCGAAAATATAAATGTGATGACTTTGAGTTTGTTCTATGAACATGATGAATGTGTGTATTTTTGATGCTGTAAATTTCCGGTATCTATTTTGTCTCGCTCTGAATAAAACACAAACACAATTCACATTAATGAGAAACTATGGAGGAGTATCAATGCCATTAATTTTCTATATTTATTCCAACTTCCTTTTATGCGCGTGGAGAGAGAGAGAGAGAGAGAGAGAGAGAGAGAGAGAATTTTATTTTTGCTGGTCTGCAATGCATATGATTTGTATACTATATGAAATCTTTATTGTCAATTTTAAGGAACTTCCTCCCCGCTATGTTTACACCTGCCAGTAAAATTAAATAGATTTTTTTTCTAAATTTCATGCATGTGCCTATCAAAAAGCAAAAGCAAACCGATACAATGATCAACGAAATTACCCCCCCCCCATCCCCCCACACACGTGCGTGCGCACGTGTCTAATTTCCAACACCTATGATTCGTATATCAACTGATTTTAAATGGCTAATGAAATCAATATATGATGAAATCAGATCTGATGTGAGAATAAGCATATGTTTATTTTTCCTTTTGTTTATTTTCATCCACTACTCAATTGAAAATTATTTTCAACCTGACTGACAGAAATAAGTGTGTTACTACATATTGGATTTTGCTTAATCTCGACGCAAAATGCAATAATCCCGGTTTATTACATTTTGCGTTGTTATTACATTTCGCGTTGTAACATACCGACCTGAGAACTAGAGAAAACACGCAAGATCGATATTATATTGTTTTTAAATAAAAAAAAAATCAGAGAAATATTTCTACGTTTCGTAGACTGTTCGCGCAAGATCTCTGTTTACACGTCCATGTTAAAGGCCGTAACGCCCCTTTTCGTTTAAATTTCATCCTGATTCCTTAATTCAACTCTCTTAGTCCTAATTTCTAATTCAAACTTTTGTTTCTGCTTATATAATTGGTATACAAAATAGTATTAAGTTAAGTACAGTGTAAACACTGTAAAGTGAAACATATTAAATTTTAAAATTTTAAAAGATAGAATCCTGTCAAAATACGAAGTGAAGCAAATTTGTCCGAATAAAATAAATGAAATAAAATTGGGAAATATAAACAAGAAGTTAGAATTAAAAGTAAAAGTAAACAATAAACAATTTATTTAATTTGGAAACACAAGAAGTTAGAGTAAAAATAAATCATTTAAAAAGAATTGTGGCACTGATGCCCCTCATAGTTTCTCGTTATTAAAATGAAGACGTTGTTAATTGTTTAATAATCATGTATGTGTTTTATTCAGAGCGCGGCAATATAGATTCCGGAAAACAAAGTCTACTACATCAAAAATACAACCAGTGTATAGTATAAACTCAAAGTCAACACAGTTGTATGTTCAAAATGTCGGAATTACCTACTCACATATGAAGACTATGAAACTGGTTTGGATTTACAAACTTACTGGATTTTGAACACGATTACCCTTCATACAGGGGCTCGTCGCGAATTATTTTTCTTCTTTCTATTTGACCGCCCCTTTACTATAAATAGGGGGGGGGGTCATATAGAGAGAAGACAAATAAGTCATGACGAGCCCCTGTAATTATAAATAATAAATTAATAACCCACGAACACAAATGTTTTCGCTCTTTCCTGGTTGGAATCGCATGGATCGTTTTAACAAATTGATTTCAAAATATTTCATACAGTGGAATGGAATATTAGTTTCATTCATTTCAAACCTTGTTTATTTTGTGAGGAGCATTTGACAGGATTCCCATTGTGCTTTCAATTTAATTAAGAGTGTATATGTTTCCTGTTGATACATATCTCTCACCTTACCATTTAAAAATCTCAAGTACATGGAACTACTTTGGAAAGAATGATTTTATTACATTTTTAACAGTGAAGTAATTTAAGTGCTTTGCACTCATACAATTATCAAAAAATCTTGTCCCCTTCGTGAAATTAATTCCATATCCAATTAAAAAAAAATAAAAAAAAATTTACAAATTCTCTTAATCTTCAATTTTTAAAGCTGGATATATAAACGATTCATGTTTAATTAAAGGTATTCATTTTTTTCTTTTAAGGTAAAGAAGATGATGCAAGCCCAAGTTATTTCTGCTGTCGTGAATCCAATATCTAAAACAATAAACTGTGGACAGAAATATATATTCGATCTCGAATATGTTACTAATGAAAGTCTGTGTGTTTCTGTTGTAAATACGAAAGACATCGCTTCTTTTCGTAAGTTCGACAATGGTTCTTTTCGATTTTTTTCTACTCGTGCCTCCTATTTATGTTTTGTGAGATCTGGTGGTATTGAGTATTTCATATTTTCGGAAAACGGATATTTGTATTGTTGGAAAGCTGGTAGTCATGAACAAAAGCCTGTTAACTATTGGTGTCTAGCAGATTCTGAATTATGGAAAGGCTACGCACCTAATGGAATCGCATCCTGCAAATCAGGAGGAATTTTGGTTTCTCTGTGGAACAAACAAATGCTCGAACGTTCTCTAGGTAAAGTTATCAAGCTGTCTCTGAATGATCATATTATACGTTTGGAAATAGAAATCGACAAAAATCGTCCACTCTTTACATGTCCAACCTACATAACAGAAAACGGTAATGAAGACGTATGCGTTTCTGATGTGAACGCGGTAGTTGTCACTGACGCAGGAGGTTTACTAAGATTTCGATACAAAGGACTGTCAGATGATTCTCAGTTTGACCCCTACGGTATCTGCAGTGATTCTCAGAACAACATTATTATAGCAGACATGATGAAAAACCGAATTCATATGATTGACCAAAATGGCGAATTTCTTCACTATATTCAATACAGAGATATGAACAGGCCACGTGCTCTCTGTATAGACGAGGATGATAACCTGTATGTCGGAGAATGGTCTTCTGAAGAAATCAAAGTCCTCTCACGCCAATGATGTAAAGAAAAAAAAAAGAATTTTTATAAGAAGGTGGTTGACGTTATTAATATACGCAGTGCTTATCTATATCTCTAACTGAAAATTACATGTAAAAAGCTTTCTGTATATTTTCTTTATTTATGATTATCTTAGACAATGATTGTTTCATCTTGTGATTACTTTTGTCGTTGTGTCCCCTAACAGTAATGTCTGATTTTTTTTTTATTTACTGGACTTGAATACTATATTTTTGTTACTGCCATTCAGTTTATGGAAATGTGACTAAAAGTTTACTGAAACTTATTATTTTTCAAATCAATTAGGGAATATGGAAAATCTTAGTGAATGTACATGTACATTATTCAAGCCTTTTGAATTTTTTAAAAAAAAAAGATGATATTTTGATCGAGCAGCTATATTTCAAATAGTCCAAATTTAAAAAAAAAAGATTCTTTTTTTAGCTCACCTAAACTTAAAGCTTAATTGAGCTTTTCTGATCACCCATTGTCCTTCGTTCGCTTGTCTGTCTGTATGTCTTTCCTTCCGTCTGTACACTTTTTACATTTTTGTAGAGCCATTTGACTACATTTATACAACGTAAACACAAAGCAGATGGCCAAAGTTGGTACAAAGCATCAGTGGGTGGTGGAGGTTCTTTATTGTTAAAATGGAGGACCAAGCCCCCTTCTAGGGGGAAATCAAGAAAAGGCAAAAATAGGATGGGATATTAAAAAAATCTTCTTCTCAAAAACCAATGGACAAGAAAAGGTGAACTTATTTGAAAACGTCTTTAGGAAGTAAAGAGTATAAATTAATCAAATCATGGTCTACTTGGGAACTGTGGGTCCACAACAAGGAAACAAAGTTTTATTTTGAAATACATGTATAAAAAGCCTTCAATATATTCTTTGTAAGAAGCACTGAACAAGAAAATAGTGAAACTTATTCGGAAGCTTTCTGAAGTAGTGTAAATTGTAGAAACCATGCCCACCTTCCCGGGTGGGGGGATGTAGTAGAGGCGTAAAATGGAATTTGAACATTACGTTTAAATATATATACGAATCATCTTTTCAAGAAAGCCTTAAAGAAAACATAAAGATTGGATATTGTTAAAAAGACAGGAACAAATAGGAAGAAATATGAAAATATATTAATCTCAATGACTGCAAAACTATGTTTAGTCAACTGACTGGAAATAATTCTCCAAAATAACATTCATTTATGTATAAAGTAATTGAAAGTAATCGAAAAAGTAATTATAATTACATTGAAAATTTTAGCTGTAATCGATTAAATTACTATTACAAGTAATCGAAAATCTCTTCGATTACAGATTACTGTCGATTACTTGAAAAAAAGTAATCATTAGAATCGATTACGATTACTCAATTACGATTATCCCATCCCTGCTGTCTGTTCGTCTGTGTGTCTGTCTGTCCGTAACAAATTTTGGTCGCAGTTTTCTCAGCAACTACTCATTGCAGATGCTTGAAATTTTAGCACAATCTTTGTTTAGGCATGCCATATGGTGGGATTCATTTTTGTACTAATCCGATGTCAACTTCCTGTTTATCCGTGCTTCTGTCCGTATCAAACACAACAAATTTTGGTCGTAGTTTTCTCAGCAACTGCTCATCGCAGATGCTTGAAATTTTAGCACACTCTTTGTTTAGGCATGCCATATGGTGGGATACATTTTTGTACTAATCCGATGTCAACTTCCTGTTTATCCTTGCATCTGTCCGTACCGTACATAACAAACCTTGGTCGCAGTTTTCTCAGCAACTACTCATCGCAGGTGCTTGAAATTTTAGCGCACTCTTTGTATAGGCATGCCATATGGTGGGATTCATTTTTGTACGAGTTCGATGTCAACTTCCTGTTTATCCGTGCGTCTCTTCATATCATACCTAACAAATTTTAGTCGTAGTTTTCTCAGCAACTACTCATTGCAGATGCTTGAAATTTAAACACACTCTTTGTTTAGGCATGCCATATAATGGGATTCATTTTTGGTACAAATCCGATGTCAACTTTCTGTTTATCCGTGCATCTGTCCGTACCATACATAACAAATTTTGGTCGTAGTTTCTCAGCAACTACTCATCGCAGATGCTTAAAATTTTAGCACAATCTTTGTTTAGGCATGCCATATGGTAGGATTCATTTTTAGCTCACCTGAGCTAAAAGCTCAAGTGAGCTTTTCTGATCACCCGTTGTCCGTCGTCCGTCCGTCTGTCCGTCTTTCGTCCGTCCGTCTGTAAACTTTTCACATTTTCAACTTCTTCTTAAGAATCACTGGGCCAATTTTAACCAAACTTGGAACAAAGTATCCTCCGGTGAAGGGAAATTTAAATTGTTAAAATAAAGGGCCAAGTCCCCTTACAAGGGGAGATAATCAAGAAAAGACAAAAAATAGGGTGGGGTCATTAAAAAATCTTCTGTGGAGGTTATGTGGAAGCATCCTGGGGTAGTGTAGATTCTAAATTGTTCAAATCATGACCCCCGGGGGTAGGGCGGGGCCACAAGAGGGAATCCAAGTTTTACATTGAAATATGCAGAAAAAATCTTTAAAAATCTTCTTCTCAAGAACCACTGGGCCAGAAAAGCTGAAACTTATATGGAAGCATCCTGGGGTAGTGTAGATTCTAAATTGTTCAAATCATGACCCCCGGGGGTAGGGCGGGGCCTCAATAGGGAATCCCAAGTTTTACATTGAAATTTATAGGAAAAATCTTTAAAAATCTTCTTCTCAAGAACCACTGGACCAGAAAAACTGAAACTTATGTGGAAGCATCCTGGTGTAGTGTAGATTCTAAATTGTTCAGATCATGACCCCCGGGGGTAGGGCGGGGCCACAATAGGGAATACAATTTTTACATTTAAATATATAGGGAAAATCTTTAAAAATCTTCTTCTCAAGAACCACTGAGCCAGAAAAGCTGAAACTTATGTGGAAGCATCCTCAAGTAGTGTACACGCTAAATTGTTAATATCAAGACCCCAGTCATAGGCAGGGCCACAATAGGGAATCCCAAGTTTTACATTGAAATTTGTAGGAAAAATCTTTAAAAATCTTTTTCTCAAGAACCACTGGACCAGAAAAACTGAAACTTATGTGGAAGCATCCTTGTGTAGTGTAGATTCTAAATTGTTCAGATCATGGCCCCCGGGGGTAGGGCGGTGCCACAATAGGTATTACAAGGGGGGAGTCTGGTAATGAACAGGATGGCCAAAGTTACTCAGGTGAGCGATATGGCCCATGGGTCTCTTGTTTGCAAATCTGATGTCAATTTCCTGATTATCACTGTGTTTGTTCATAACTGAACTTGTGTATTCACGTCAGAGCGGGGGTATTATTAGTGAGCATTGGCTCACAGACTTCTTGTTACCACAAAATCACGCTGTTACGCCATGAAAACTAATTTTACGCTTTTAAATATTTTTCCTAAACAACTTAATGAGAGGCTAACTTTGGAGTTAAAGTAAAGGCGTTCCTAAATGAAAACGAGAAGGTAAATAATACTAATTAATAGAGGGTTTCGGTTCTTCACGATAAAATTATTTATGATACAAATAACATACGTAATATTTCTTGTAGTTATGCCTTTTAAACGGGTGGCATGCCAAAATTCAGAAAAAAAAAAACTTTTGAATGAAGTGTGCAATAAGTAAAGTCAGTTTAATTTTCAATTCCGTTTATTCTTACATTGCTTAGAACAATATAGAGACAAGTAAATGTAAGAAAACGAAATAGCGCAATAATGTAGAATTTGTATTAATATGGAAATGAAACTCTGAATAATGTGATTTGCTGAAGATTTTCCAAATTTTCATTAGGAATATAAGTTAAATAAGTTTGATATGATTGCATTTAGGATACCAGTTTTACAACAAAGGGACTTTTTGTCTATAAATGATTTGAAAAAGAAACATTCATGCTTGCTTTGTTCAATGATGTACAATTTCAGGTGTATTTAGACAATATAGTATCATTGTAAAACACCAAACTAGGGAAAAGTAAAGGATTACGCCCTTACCTCTGAAATTCCACCTAATTGAGTATTGAAATTACACCCTCGCAATGAAAAGGGTAGGCAGGTCTGTTTACGGAGCAATTTAAAAGGATCAATTGAAAAGAAACTTTCTTCTCTAGACCTGCGAAGTAATGATTATTCATAGTTATATTGAGGTATCCTCTGACAGTCTAGATTCAATTTTGTTCAAATTATGATCCCCCAGGGGGGGGGGGGGGAGGGTGTAGTAATTGTGCGACTGAGCTTACTAGTGGAAAAAGATATCAAATGTCAAATAAAGAAAAAATAATTGTTGTTTTTGGACATTTTTTATTTATTCTTCGAGCTACAATTTTATAATTTTTTATGTTGAAATTTGGAAATTTGAAACACACAGAAGGGCATTTTACTGGAGTATATTAGTCACATGAACCTTTTTTTCAATCTTGCATAAAATGACTGTAAAGGTGTTGCTAAGCAACGGGGTATTCTTTAATTTTCGGACAGAATTTCTTATTTTTCGATCATACAAAGCACATTCATGCATTAAATCACATTTTTAAGTCAGAGATGGGGTCCTAATATTGAAATGGATATACAGCAGATAAAATTGCCATGATGTTTGACCTAATACAATCTATTTTTAGGTGGTCAAACTTCAAAAGAGTGCATGCAAAATTTCAAGAACTATTTCGACGCTTTCCAATATCCTTGCTAAAAGTTTACAACAAAGTACTGAACATACTTCCTAGACGGCAATATGCTGAACTGCAATATCCACTACCGTTTTTGTTCAAATATGTGTTCAATGACCTTTAAGTGGTTGCTAAGCAACAATAATGTTTTCAACTTTTCAGGTCTGTGTACTTAATTTGTTTTTGCTCATTCTAGACAAGTATTTTGCGTTTCATGCTGTTGTAAGATATAGAACCAAAATAATGTACAGAACATACATCAGACAATTTTCATGAGTATTGACCTTGACACTGTTTTTGGGGTCAAGGTCATAGCAGTACAGAATTCTGCCTAAAGTTGCACGGACATATCAAATGCTGAAA